AAAAAAAAAAAAAAAGTTTTTGTATAGGATGGCACGCATGGCTTGGTAGGTAGGACGCCAGCCATATACACCCAGGCTAGTGGGTTTGAACCCAGCCTGGGCCTGCTAAACAACAATGGCAGCCCCAGAGGGATTTCACAGAATTAGAAAGGAATAATTCTTCAAAAGGACATTGACTCAGCAGACCTCTGTTGAGTACTTCTCTACTGAGCCGTGTTAGTAAGACTGTAAATAAGTGGATAGGCTGTAATCCTGTTTCCATAAACCCTATGCCTTGGGTGTTATCTGTGGCTCAGGGAGTAGGGTCCTGGTCCCATATACCAAGGGTGGTGGGTTTGAACCCAGCCCCAGCCAAAACTGCAAAAAAATAAAATAAAATAAAAAACTTATTTTAAAAAAAAACGGGCAGCCTGCGCCTGTGGCTCGGTGGGTAGGGCCCTGGCCCCATATACCAAGGGTGGCGGGTTCAAACCTGACCTCGGCCAAATTGCAACAACAACAACAATAAATAGCCGAGTATTGTGGTGGGCGTCTATAGTCCCAGCTACTCGGGAGGCTGAGGCAAGAGAATCGCCTAAGCCCCGGAGTTGGAGGTTGCTGTAAGCTGTGTGATGTCACAGCACTCTACCAAGGGCAGTAAAGTAAGACTCTGTCTCTACAAAAAAAAGAAAAAAGAAAAACCTATGCCTTCCTAAAAGGAGGATTACAAAGTCACAAAGTATACAGAATTTTAAAACTTCTAATACAGAAAGTTTGTGTCATTTCATCAGCAGTACATCAGAACTCCGGTCCCCACATGCTTGGCAGGGTAAATTGGAAATTCCACCTATTAGGAAATATGGTTCCTTCCAGAAATTTCCTATCTATGTAGGCAACATTGTTATACCTAGAAAAGATGGTTGATGGCTTACCATGTGGAAATTAGCTACAAGTAATACTTAATTTAATGTCATCTGGTCAGCATTTCTAATCCAGAATCAGAATTTAAGATATTCACTTTCTACGGCTCGGCACCTGTAGCTCAAGTGGCTAAGGCGCCAGCCACATACACCTAAGGTGGCAGGTTCGAGTCCAGCCCGGACCCGCCAAACAACAATGACAGCTGCAACCAAAAAATAGCCGGGCGTTGTGGCGGGCACCTGTGGTCCCAGCTGCTTGGGAGGTTGAGGCAGGAGACTCGCTTGAGCCCAGGAGTTGGAGGTTGCTATGAGCTGTGAAGCCACGGCACTCTACCCAGGGGGATAGCTTGAAGCTCTGTCTCAAAAAAAAGATATTCACTTTCCGGAGTAATGTGTTTGATATTAACTAGGAATTGAGTTAAACTGGTGAAGAGCTAAAATGTTTCAGTGTTCTCAGTGAACAGCCTGTCTCACATGCCCCTAGCCCACAATCACTGCAGCAAACAGGGTTTTTGATCTAATGTTACAGTGTGCATAGTCCAGCTCAGGTTCTCTACAGCAGGTGGCCATGGCTGCTGCCATGCTGGGAGAGACAGATGGGGTCAGGCCTGGTTCGGGGTCTGAAGGGGTTTTGTTTTGGTCCCTTGGTTTTTAGGTTAATCCAATGGCTGGACCTTTGTTAATTGGGAGGCCCGCCCTGCCTGGGAAGGCAGAACAATAATGTGAAGAGTTGGAAAGGAAAGGGCTCCGAGTAGATATTTCCAAGGTTGCCTGCCCACCTCATAGCCATTCTGAACAGCCAATAAGCAAATGCCATTAAGTCTCATAAAGTTGTTGCCTTGAATTCTTACATTTTAGAGAAAGCTGCAGACTGTGGTCAATGCAAAGAACAATAAGTGACCTGTGTTTGCTAGCCAGGAAAATAAAATGATATAAAGATGATCTTACCTATATATGGCTTGCTTGTAAAGCTAGGCCTGAAGGTATAAATTCTAATTTTTTTTAAATGAGTTGTCATACTTCAGTGATGTAAGGAGAAGAATAAAAGTCTCCTCTGTATGAGACTCCCCAATAGTCTGGGATTTCTCCTTGTGCTGCTTACAACCTAGTTCAAGTTTCTGGTCCTACAGGCATCTTCCGTATCCAAGCTTCAGCCTTCCATCCCATTTCTCCCCATTTTTTGCCTATAAAATATCTACCATGCAAAGACTAAGTGAGGCCTCCCTTACCCTAAAGCTCTCTATGTGAAAAAAATTATCTTCCTTTAAAAAAAAAAAAGAAAAGAAAAAAGCAGTAGCTCACACCTGTAATCCTAGCACTCTGGGAGGCTGAGGCGGGTGAATAGGTTGAGCTCACCAGTTCGAGACCAGTCTGAGCAAAAATGAGACCCTATCTCTAATAAAAATAGAAAAAAACTGAGGCAAGAAGATAACTTGAGCCTAAGAGTTGGACGTGGTTGTGAGCTATGAGCCACAGCACTCTACCCAGGGCAACAGCTTGAGACTCTGTCTAAAAAAAAAAAAGAAACTTCTTTCTTTTTCTCCACATTCACAGCACATTTACTGGCCTCTTTCCCTGGCATTTAGGTAATGCCAGACTATGTGACAATTTAGGTAAAGGTGTTTGGTTCTTTGTTATTTGCATGCTTGTTTATCATCAGGGGAAGTCCCTATCTTATCTCCTTACGACCTCTGGTCAATGAGTATTTGTAGAAGTACATTTTTGATTAGATTAAGGGGAAAGTAAAACAATGGAAGTAATGAGCAGCCGAAACTAGAAGGGGAAGTACAAGTTGATAGTAAGGTGAGGAAAAGGCTGCACCCAAAGAGGCCCACAATGAGGAAGTAAACCTATCATTTCAGCACCTTTGACCATAGCAGGCCAGGCTTCCTTTCCTCAGGACTGGATTGAGAGAAACTACTGGCTGGTGCTATGGTTCTTACTCAGATTTAACGGTAACATATTGCCTAAACTAATAAATGATTTTATTTGAGTAAATTGTATTATGTTTTAGTCCTTCAAAATAGGGACACCAGGCTGGGCCTAGTGACTCATGCCTGTAATACTAGGACTCTGGGCGGCTAAAGCTGGAAGATCTCTTGAGCTTAGGAGTTTGAGACCATTCTGAGCAGGAGCAAGACCTAGGCTCTACTAAAAATAGAAAAATTATCTGGATGTTGTGGCAAGTGCCTGTAGTCCCAGCTACTCTGGAGGCTGAGGCAGGAAGGATGGCTCTAAACCCTGGAGTTTGAGGTTGCTATGAAGGAGGCTGAAGCCACAGGGACTCTAGCCTGTGGCAACACAGCGAGACTCAGTCTCCAAAAAAAAAAAAAAGAAGAAGAAGAATAGGGACATCAAACCTGGCAAATGGTACAGTTTTCCTTATTTCCATTTAAGTTTGAATTCTTATTCTTGACGTTAGCAACTTGCAGCCTACAATAGTGAGATATTACTTAGAACAACAATTGAGCATGCAAATTTTGATGTTAATGCAACTGTATCTGTGTGAAGACCCATCAGCAGACAGACAGATGACTAACATGGAGAATTAGGGGTGTCTGATCACCCTAGCACATGAAAACCAAGAGGGAAGAAAAACTTTTCCCTATTAAGAACCTTTCTTATTTTTTTGAGACAGAGTCTTACTTTGTCACCACGGATAGAGAGTGCTGTGGCATCATCATAGCTCACAGCAACCTAAAACTCCTGAGCTCAAGCGATCCTCTTGCCTCAGGCTCACAAGCAACTGGAACTATAGGCGCCCAGCCCAACACCTGCTAGTTTTTCTATTTTTAGTAGAGACAGGGTCTCACTCTTACTCAGGCTAGTCCTGAACTCCTAAGCTTAAGCAGTCCACCACCTGAGTCTCCCAAAGTGTTAGTATTACGGCTCAGTGCCCATAGTCCAGTGGTTAGGACACCTGTCATATATAGCAGGGCTGGCCAGCACAGGCGTGCAAACAACAATGACAACTTCAACCAAAAAATAGCTGGGCATTGTGGCGGGTGCCTGTAGTCCCAGCTACTTGGGAGGCTGAGGCAAGAGAATCACTTAAGCCCCAGAGTTTGAGGTTGCTGTGAGCTGTGACGCCACAGCACTCTACTGAGGATGACAGTGAAACTCTGTCTCCAAAAAAAAAAATATTAGGATTATAAGCATGAGCCACCATGTGGTCTTCCTTTTAAGAACTTGTTATGGATTAGGCTGCTAGGGAAAATGTTAAATCATTTAACTGTAAAGTACGTGTCACAGCCAGAGGCAATGTGTACCTGTAGTCCCAGGTATTTGGGAGGCTGAAGGAGGGTTGCTTGAGCTCAGGAGTTTAAGGCTGGCCTGAGCAACTTAGGGTAACCCTGCCTAAAAAAACAAAAAAATATGTCTAGCTTAATTGGTAGGATTTAAGACAAAGGCAGCTGAGGGACATAGCAGAACAGTAGGTGAGCCCTGGAAGTCATGTGGGAATCAGCTTGGATAAGTTTTCTGCCTTGCCCTTGGTTGGCAGATGTACTTGGAATTGTATCTTAAGTTGCTGGCTTTTCATGAGTGTCTTTCTGTTTTGAGCAAAGGCGGCTTCAATGATCCATCCTAAAGAGGTACCCCCTGAAGCCATCTTGCTGGCAGTCTACCTTGAGCTGCAGAACGGTGAGTAATTCTTTCTAGTTAGATTTCTATCCCTCAGAGAACCCAAGATTTTTGATTCTCCGTTCTCTCTTAAAAGTCAAAACTTTGCTTTCCATGAATTTACCCATCAACTTCTTTTAGACAAAAATGTAGTTAGAGAGTTTTTGGTAGCCTACAAATACAAATTAAGCATATTTTCTTTTATCTGTGAAAATGTAGAATCATAACTTCTAACAATTATAATTAATCCCTACTAATCTTTCTCTTAGCCAGCTAAATGACTCTAATTAAGAACATGAGTCCGGGCTCGGCGCCTATAGCTCAACGGACTAAGGCGCCAGCCACGTACACCTAAGGTGGCGGGTTCGAATCCCCAGCCCGGACCCGCCAAACAACAA